CAGAGCAGGGTTTCCCTCTTGGCTGGAGACAACGCAGCCTCCGAGCTCCAACCCAGAGCAGCTCTGGGACTTGAGGCAAAGCAAAGAGCCCAGCGGAGCAAGAGCCGCAGCCGCTGGGCCAGGACAAAGCTGGTTTTGCTTGAAAGCCAGCGGAAATCTGCACCAGCCCCTGAGCTGGAACTGGAGATAAGAGGTTTTTCTGCAGAGGTGGAGAAGTGGAGGAGCCACGGCTCCGCGCTGATGACTGAGACCTCGCATCTGTCCCAGCACGAAGGCAGGATGCCTGTGCGTACACGCTTCACCAAAATCCCTCTGCGAGGATTTTCCAATATCAATTTACACCCTTTCTTCTTGCCAGCATCCACACACAGCCCTCCCCCAGGCCCTGCCCGGCCCCCCTCGCCACCGGCCCCCCCTCCGCCGCAGCCATTTGTCTTCCTCACATCCCCGCGCATCCTTTGATGGACCCTGCTATTTCTGAGCAACTCCAGTTATTCTGGGGGTGCTGCTCTGCAGGGCCTCGGCAGAGGATGGATCAAATGCCCGAGATGCCCCTAATCACCGAAGAGTTTCCACTGACGTGGCTTTCCAAGAGCGAGCGCCGCCATTGCACCTTTATGCCCCACGCTTTGGGAATGGAGATGTTGGAAAGTTTTCCATTCGAGCATCCTTCAGGGCGAGCGGTGGCTTTTCTGAGCTAATTTTGCAGCTCGAGCGGTGTTTTTGTTTTAAAAATAAGTAATCAAGAACATCTGTTCTCCCTCCACATCCTCCTCCTAAAAATAAAGCCCCACATGTTGGGTTGCCTTGGGAGAAATGCCTCCCAAGCCACCCTCGTGCTTCGTCCCAGTTCTTGAGGAAGAGTCATTTTTGCCCGGTTTCCCCAGCACCCGTTACAGCGCCTGCTGCTTCCTCCGGCCGTTACCCCTCGCTCAGGAAATGAACTCAACTTCACGCTACAGCTGCAAATCCTCCATCTGAAAGCGATACCATGAACCCAGCTGCACCATGGTTCTTACTCCCATTACCTTTCCCGTGGGGCAGCTGGGTGGGGGCCTCCCCCATCATTTGTATTTCAATCCCCGGCAGAGCCTGTTACATATTGAACAGCTCAGGGTTGCGGTAGGTGATTTCCCAGTTAATGCCTCTCAGGATTCTTGGTCCTTAAAAGAAGAAAACCGGCCCCCTTTTTGCGGCGTCAAATAATCCTGCAGCTTCAAAAGCAAGCTTGGAGGATCAAAGGAGCTGACAGATTTGTAAACTCTTCTAGACGAGAGCATTTAAGAGCGCGCTGCAAGACATTTTAGGAAACACTTGCTCTTTTGGGACAGGAAAAAGCAGTTTAAGACCGAAAAGAAACAAAACCTGCAAAATAAAGCTTCTTACCCTCCACTGGCACCCACCCGGCTCTAACGAAGGCAGGGAGAAAGGGGAGCAACTTTTCTGTCTGCAGATTTCTCTCAAGGAAACTTCAGAGAGGTGCAACTTCCTCCATTACGTCCCCTTCCGCCCCCCACCCGACCTCAAAAGCTGCAGCAGGGGTTACTCAACGGGGTGACAGAAGCTAAACCACAACTGCGATAGCGGGGATAATTATTTGGGCACAGGGCTGAGAAGGGGGCAACAAATACGCTCACAACCGTATTCAGAGAACAAAATGCTCCAGCTGCAAGACGCTTTGCATTTAAAAGTGTCCTGGTTTCGGCTGGGATAGAGTTAATTTTCTTGCTAGTAGCTAGCATAGGGCTGTGGTTTGGATTTAGTACCAGAAGAATGTTGATAACACACTGATGGTTTTAGTTGTTGCCAAGCAGTGCTCAGACTACTCAAGGACTTCTTGAGCTTCTCCTGCTCGGCCAGGGGCATAACAAGCTGGGAGGGGGCACAGCCAGGAGAGCTGACCCCAACTGACCAAAGAGCTGTTCCAGCCCATAGAACGTCATGCTTGGGGGGGTCAGTCGGTCGGTCGGTTGTGGGGAGACTGATCGCTGCTCGGGGACTGATCACGGCTCAGGGAGTGATCGCAGCTCGGGACGGGCTGGGCATTGGTCGGCGGGTGGTGAGCAATTGCGTTGTGCATCATTCGTTTTGTACATTCTGTGTATTCTGTTATCATTCTCATTATTACTATTATTATTATTTTCTCTTATTAAACTGTCTTTATCTCAGCCCTCGGCTCTAACCTTTTATTTTCTTCCCGATTCTCTCCCCCATCCCACTGAGGGAGGGGTGGGGGCGGTGAGCAAGCGGCTGCGTGGTGCTGAGTTGCCAGCCAGGTTACAGCAGCTTAATTAATGCCTGGCTTTTGTATAGAAAGGAGAACAGCAAGGCCAGGTTTTGTGAGAGGGCAAGCATAGGCAGGCCCAGCACCTGCAAAAAGCAGCTCCCTGTGTCCTAGCGTGGGATCAGAGCTGCAAGTGCTTGGATGGGAGCAGCTGCATCCCCCTAAGTCATCGGAGGGATTCGGGGCGCTGGGCGAGGTACCCACCTCCAGCACCAGGGCTGGTATTGGCAAGCGCAGATAGCTCAAGGTCATGCAGCGCCTTAACGGTGGAGCCAAGAACATGGTCCAGGATTCCCAACCCTCCACCCTGCATCTTCAATCGCTTGGATCATGCTTCCCCCGAGGAACATCAGGGATTTAATATTCTCTCCACTGCTCGGCACAGAAACCGAACAGAGCGCTTTGCTTTTGCCACAGACACGGCTTTGGCTATCGTGAGCCAGCTGCCATTTCCTCCCCAGCCCTCTCCTGCGCTCCAAAACCGGGCACAAACGCCAGCCAGCACGTCTCTTTCCAATATTTTAATGAGTCGCTACATCTTACACTCATAATTATAAAAGAATAAGAATCCATAAAAATATTTTCTTTTCATAATACGCACTTAAAATACTCCAGGGCAAGTCAACGTGGTTCATTTGGGTGAGGTTTTGTTTTTTTTCCTTTTTGCCCCTGGCAGAACCCTTGGCTTGAGGGGGGTATGTGCTCCCCTGAGGTGCGATTGCTCAATCCCCCCTCCCCAGAACTGCAGTTCCTGTTGACCAGGTAAATAGAAACCAGAAGAGAGCATTTGCTGAGTAGACGGGCAAGGGGAACAGTCACTGACCCGCAGAGAACTGAAGCACAGCCAATTTCAGTGCACATCTGAAAGCTCAGGGTGTCGGGGAAGGAGAAGGTGGGATCAGGAGGCAGCACAGAGAACGGAGGGAAGGAGGATTTGCATAAATATCATCCATCTTGCGTTGCAAAAACCCAAATGCTGCTGTGATCTCTGGAGAGATGATCTCTGGTTGTAGCCAGCTGCTTCAGCTGCCACGCTACCTGTTGGCACAACTCTGCTTGTGAGCGGCCATTAGAGAAAGGTACCAGAGGAGGCCGTTACCGACCCCAGCCACTTCCTCCATCTGCTCTGCAAAACTAAACTGAAAAAATAGAAAAGACTAGTGTTGCATGCTTCTGTAGAGCTCTCTTCACATCCCAGGGCTCCACATTGTCGCAGCAGGGCCAGGACACAGCAGCAGCGATCAGCTCCCCTGGGGTTTAACAAAAGGTATTTCTCTCTTCCCTCCCACTCCTGGCTTAAGGCAGCTTGCTGATTCGGCTCTTCCATTTCCAACACAGGCACTGAGTTCTTGCAGGTAAGAGTATGGGAACCACAGAGGCGCAGTGGAAGGGGAAAAAGGATGGGGGAGAGAGAGATGGACACAAACCTCAGCTTCGGGAGACAGACCACTGTCCATTGATCCCCAGGATAGAGGGAGTAGCAGCAAAAAAAGCATTAACAGCCAGGCCGGAGGAGAGGAACAGGACGAGCAGCTGAGCAGGGGCAGACCTCCAGCTTGGAAAGTGAAAGAAGGTGGCACTGTCCAAAGGGAAGGTGCCCTCCACGTCCCCCCCCCTTGCTCAGGGGGGGACACCCAGCCCGGACGTGGGCACTCAGCCACTTGTGCTCTGGGTTAGATGGCCGTCGAGTGGCAGGGCACGGGAGGGGGAAGGTGAGCTGTCAGTGTCCAGTTTGCAGAGGCTTGTGCTCTCAGAGGTATTCTTGTAGAAAGTGCAGCAGCGTGATTTCATAGTGCTCTCCTGACTCAGGGCACCGAATACTGTGTCTCTCGTTGGGGTAGATCTGCGCAGAAGCAGAGAGATGGGGCAGTTAGCCAGGAGCAGCTCATTCAGCATGGACAAGCCCCCCTCACATCAGCCCCTTTTCCCCTCAACCCAGTCTCCATCGGGACAAAGAGGCGCCAGGGAAGGTCTAGAACACCAGCCCCCCTCCCTCATTGCGCTGGCACTCCGCTCGGCGAGTCGGCCACCTCTGCTGTCACCAGCCAAGTGATACAGCAACAGTTCAGCCGAGAAGGAAAGTTCCAGGCCTGAGGGCAGGAGCCCTGTTTGCAAATGCTTTTAGATACAGGCCACATCTGCCAGCAATGAAAACAGCCACAGTGCCACCTCCCGGCCACCTCCTGGAGTCAAACTAGGCGTTTACAGTCATCTACACTGCTCCCACATCTTGTTGCATCTGCCTCCACCTTCTCCTGCCCCAAGACACACAGCAGAAAACTCTTCCTCTTTCTAGATTTAAGGGACCTTCGCACTTCACTCTTGTTCCTCCTACCTGCAGCTGGTAAGGTTTTCCAGCCCGGATTAGCTGTGATACCAGGAAGTTGGTGTGGAAAAAGTGCACATTTTCATCCAAAAAGCCATGGAGGATCAGCAAACGATTTGGCCTGGAAGTGGGATAAGAGACAGGATGAGAAACCACATAAAAACCTCCGCAGTGAGTCTGAGCAAAGAGCTGCCAGTTGGCAAGCCAAAATGGAGCGATGGGCAGGCAGTCAGAATAGTGTAAGGCCATGGCCATGGTCCTCAAACCCTCCCTGGCAAAGGGGGCTGGGGGCACCACGCCCCTGCTTGCTGCAGAAGGCAGAGACCCACCACACGAGTTAAAATGAAATGGGATCAGGATCCATCCATTCTTTTGGGATTCAGCAGAATAGCAACCAGTAGCACCACGCAGGACCCAGGAGCAGGTTCTTAGCAGATCACTCAAACCCCACGGTACTCACTCGTTGGGAAGCTTTTCTACGTGTAATGCCACAGAGCCAGCCTCATAACCTTGCTGGTTGTTTTCTGGGATATCCATGTACCGCTCAGTATACCCGGTGTCATATGCCATCCAAACTGTGACAGGAGCACCTGCTATAGCAATCTGTCAAACAAATAGATGGCAGGAGACAGCCTCAATTATCATGTGCTAAAGAGTTCAAGCGTTCCCTGTTTTCCTGAAGAGGCAGGAAAAATAGGCTCTGGAGTGTTCTGTCACTCAGACCAGGATTCTTCTACAGCAAACCCACATAAAACCCAGATTCCTCCTCCTGATATTCCTCTTATGGTCACAAATTCCTGCATATCAGCATTAAAGGCTTCCCCTTTTCAAAGAGGACTTGTGGAATGATCCAGAAACTGTGCTAGGGACTCGGGAAGGTGATTAGGAATAGCGCATCAATTATCTCAGTGGATGCTAGGCTAAGTCCTCCATTGGCAGTCACTGGGGAACGACCCCATCCCAGGGACCCCATCCTCATCAAGCCTCAGTACGATCTGCAAGCAGAATGCAGGACAGTAGCCAGGAGCTACAGGCAGGGCTGAGGGACATTTTCACCAGAAACATGAAGCAAAAAAGCGAACTCCAGATGCTGTGAATTACAGAAGCTGAGAGAGCCAAGTGTCCTGAGATGACAGCCCCATGTCCAGACTTACCTTGAAGACATTGGGTTTACAGATAAGACCCATGAGGGAGAGAAAACCCCCGTAGGACCAGCCATGTATGGCTACCCGACTCAAGTCGATGAACCCGTATTTTTCTGCTACATAATGTAAACCTTCCACCTGGTCCTCTATCTCCACCTGACCCTAAAAGGCAACACAGAAGCTCAAGTTAGTGGCTTTCTACATCTAGAAATTTGAGACAGAAAAGAGAAGGGCAACACTCACACAGGAACCAGGCAGCCTTAGAGCAAATAAGCAGTGATTCATCAACAGAAGTAGTACATTACCATTTGGTTTTTCAGGGCCCCTTCAAATTTGAGTCCTCGCTGGCACGAACCCCTTCCATCAATCACTACCACAGCATAGCCTAGGGACGCTAGCGTGTTTAGCCGTAAGTACTTGATTCCTTTGAAGGAGTTATTCACTAGCTGCACCTGCAGGAGGAGGGAAGAAAAGTTTCAGAGCCAAGCAGCTGCCTTCCGATATCTTCCTCTGTCCGTCCCACTCCATAGGATCCTGAGCTGGACAGCAGCCACTAACCAAGCTATCCGACCCATGGAAGTCAGACTAAATGCTGGAAAAATCATCTGAGGTTTGAAGCAGAGATCAGAATAGAGATCCAGTCCTCAGTGCTAAGGAAAACACAAGTCTTGATGTGTGTGACTGAGCTACACAGAGCTCTGCCCT